TTTGTATTCCTTAAAGTGAAATGATGGCAATCATCTTTCGGGACTGACCTGAAATGAAGAGAATACTCATTGCTGATCACTTGATTATTTGGGCATATTTTATGTTCCAAATGGAATACATGGTGTGAAGTAGAAGTGACGATTTGATGTGGGATCGGTAAATATGTATCCTACTTTTTTTAGGGTATGATGTGATTGCTCAAGCTCAGTCAGGTACTGGCAAGACAGCCACATTTGCTATTTCCATCCTGCAACAGTTGGAGATTGAGTTCAAGGAGACCCAAGCACTAGTATTGGCCCCCACCAGAGAACTGGCTCAACAGGTATTGATAGTGTAGTTCAAAAAAACTGCTTGCGTGTTGCATAGGTTTCAGGTTTCACAACTGTGAAGAATTTAAAACTTAGTATAAATTGGTCCTATCAGAGCCCTCCTTTTAATTGTCCATGCATGCAGGGAGTTTTTGTTGAAAGTTAAACAGGAGCTGGGTGCGCAGGTATGGTTTGTAGGGTTGTATACCAACAGATTGAGAAGCTGAAGCCTTCTGTTCAGAGTATACTAGATCTACCCCCATTTTTTAAGTTTGAATGCAGTTGTGCAACGTGAAAACTGCAGTGACATGTTACCATTTGACTGTCTCAGTAGTTTGTGATGCATCTGTTGCATGCTATGTTTTCAAAGCTTACTGCTGTATTGGCTTTGAAGTAAACCTTCCTAATAAAGCTGTAGGCTTTATTAAGGTCAAAATTATATAAGGCACAGTACCCTGTGGGGAAAAAAATTGACAACATCTTCCCTAGCTGTAATTGGAGAATTTTTAAAGTTTCATTGTTTACACCTTACTACACAGTGAGGGATAATGTAGGAAATGGCACTAGTTCTTTAGTTGCCTAGCTGATGTGTGGGGCAACAATCCCAAGTTTGACAGGGCACAAGAAAGATAATAGGGGAATTTTATTTTGAGGCAGTTAAGTCAGTCTGCATTTTAAGCTTGGAAGTAGTTCTGTGCTATGCATGCATAAAAGCTGTTGGCAGAAGAGATAACTTGCCATTATGTTCTGGAAGTTACTCATGGAGCTTGTAAATCTGCGTGATAATGATTAAGTTTTTTTGTTTTTAGATCCAAAAGGTAATTTTGGCACTTGGAGACTATATGGGAGCAACTTGTCATGCTTGCATTGGTGGAACGAATGTTCGAAATGAAATGCAAAAACTTCAGGCTGAAGCACCACATATTGTAGTTGGTACACCAGGGAGAGTGTTTGATATGTTAAACAGAAGATACCTTTGTAAGTACTATCCTTTTTAAAGACTATAATGTGTTTTTACTATTATGTAGTCAAAAAGAAGTTAAATAGTATCCAAAGACTCTAGAGACAATAGTATGACTTTGTTTTTAACAGCTCCAAAATGGATCAAAATGTTTGTTTTGGATGAAGCAGATGAAATGTTGAGCCGAGGATTTAAGGATCAAATCTATGAGATTTTCCAAAAATTAAATACAAGTATTCAGGTAAGCTTTATTTCACCCCCTCTTAAGAGTGGGGGTTTGGTTTAATGCAGCAGGTACTGTTACAATATAACTGAAGTGTTAATATTGTCGTTCCCCCTGCTTAAAGCAATTGATTCATAACTATCTCTGTCTAACTTCATTCCATAGTAAGACAGGGACGCTTGGTCTCAAACATTTTTCCTTTAGTGGTGCTGTGAAAATTGTGCTACAACATAATCAATGTCTATTTTTAAGGTTGTGTTGCTTTCTGCCACAATGCCAACTGATGTGTTGGAAGTGACCAAAAAATTCATGAGAGATCCAATTCGAATTCTGGTGAAAAAGGAAGAATTGACTCTTGAAGGAATCAAACAGTTTTATATTAATGTTGAAAGAGAGGTAATTTGTCTAATTCTTAAACATTAGTGTTAGCCAGGTTTTTTTACCTTCTTGTATAAGCACTGTGCTAAAATTGCAGAAACTAGGACCATGTCTTGGTTTTTGTAATAATGCTAGCAGAGTACACACAGGAAGAAAAGTAACTGCACTGGATTGTAAAGACTGGGGTGGACCTCTTTCTTAATGTCCAGTGTCCTTTGTCTTAAGATTCGGTGCAATATATTTAAAATATAGAGAGACAGAATGGATTTCTAACAAATGAAAGTTGAAAACTAAATGACTGTTAACTTTCTCTTTGGAATATTGTAGGAATGGAAGTTGGATACACTTTGTGACTTGTATGAGACACTGACCATTACACAGGCTGTTATATTTCTCAATACAAGGCGCAAGGTGGACTGGCTTACTGAGAAAATGCATGCCAGAGACTTCACAGTGTCTGCTCTGGTAAGAGGTTCTAACTTTGTAATTAAGATATCTGCATTTCCATTAAAGCAGGATTCAGACTACAATATAGCTGTAAAGTGCTGTGTTGTTGTTCCCCCTGCTCAAAATAAAGTGTTTCTTAACTATACCTGTCTGCTATACTCTTGTAGCAGCCAGGGACGCTTGGTCTCATACATGTTGATAAAAGTAAATGTCAACCTGACTGGTTGATTCTTGAATTAAGGTTTGTTACTTTGCAGCATGGTGACATGGACCAGAAGGAGAGAGATGTTATCATGAGGGAATTCCGATCAGGGTCAAGCCGTGTTCTGATCACTACTGACTTGTTGGTAAGTAGATCTCTACTACTTAAATCTACCAAAAGTTAGTTTTGGAGGGGGAAGGTTTTGTTATAATAACCTTCACCACCTTGGGCTGTTTGGGAGAGCAAAGAAAAGACCACACTCCACAGTGGGCTATACCACTTAGTATAGTTCATTACTATTTTGTGGCCTACATTACATAGGTGTCCAGTTTGTTAAATTTAGGATTAAGTAACATATATACCGTTGTATTTCAGGCTCGTGGGATTGATGTGCAACAAGTGTCTTTGGTTATAAACTATGACCTACCTACCAATCGTGAAAACTACATTCACAGGTGAGAAGATGGCATCTTGACTGTATATTAGGAAAAAAACCTCATGTGTTGCTTTTCCACTGTGAATTGTCTGAAAGGTGAAAAGACAGTAACTTTTAGATGATGTAAAGTTGTACTTGGAAAAGACAGGTCAGAACAAAGTGGCAAAACTTGAAAATGTTTGTTGCCCTGATTGTGGATATAACATACAGATCAGGTTTATATTGGCATCTGTTGGTTTTAGCTCTGAGCTTTATTCTTAGTGATGTTCTTGTGTCCATGTGCTTTTTCTTGGTGATGATTTTTCTATAGTTGGGATTTTCTTGGTGTCGCCTGGTAGCAATTTGAGTGATCCCTGGTTTAGTTTTAGTGGCTTTATCCCTAAATAAATTGAATTGTACTTTGTTATATGATATAAAAAAAGACTTTTTAAAAAATACAGGAGTCGATAGCAGCAGTTGATGACGAGATGGCACTCAGAAACGGCGTTGACGTAATTTAGGACGTGGAATCATAAGCGAAACAGCACACACTGTTTGAATAAAGAGCGAGTCGGTATTTATATTTGTTTTTCTTTTGTCATGATTATTTTAATATTTTAAGTTGCTCCAGCCAAGGCATTTTGTATATTAGCATTTCTGTTAGGGAGCATTTCTACTAGGTGGTTTGTATTGTCTGGTTTCTATCAGGAAGGTAGAGAGCTGTTTGGAGTAAACACGTTTGAGTAATTTGAGTTCTAACGTGTGAAACTGAGCAAAAAAGCAGTGATAAGTTTGGGTTACCATACCAAATTAGTTTTCCCACTGGAAAAAAGTAAGTTTTAGAAAATAGTTAACCTTGCAGCATTTGTATTTACAGTCTACAGTTCCAGAAGTGCGTCGAAATGGATTACATAACTGTTCTTTTTGTTTTATCCCTGGTGTTTACATCTGTCCCAGGCTGACACCTGCTCTTGGCTGGCCCACTTTGGTATGGGCTTTAGTTTCACTACCCCAAACACAATACTGTCATCTGCTTTATAATAATGCTCAAAACACCTGATGAAATCTCGTTTTGCAGCCAGACAAGCGTTGAATCCTTTTGGCACTAACTGCAAAGGAAGACTTTTTTCTCTAGATATTGATTAGCAGCTAGTGCTCCAGTTAGAAGCACGAACTATACCCTTGATAAGTAAACAGCAGCTGATGGTTAACAAGTGGATCGTCATGTTCAGTAGTTCATAAATTACATGAGAAGTAACATTCTGATTGCTGATTTCTTTTTCTTACACAGAATTGGCAGAGGGGGTCGATTTGGGAGGAAAGGTGTGGCTATAAACTTTGTTACTGAAGAAGACAAGAGGATTCTTCGTGACATTGAGACTTTCTACAATACTACAGTGGAGGAAATGCCCATGAATGTGGCTGACCTTATTTAATTCCTGGGATGAGATAGTTTTGAATGCAGTGCTCGCTGTTGCTGAATAGGCGATCACAACGTGCATTGTGCTTCTTTGGGAATATTTGAATCTTGTCTCAATGCTCATAACGGATCAGAAATACAGATTTTGATAGCAAAGCGACATTAGTCGTGAGCTCTTGTGAGGAAAGTCATTGGCTTTATCCTCTTTAGAGTTAGACTGTTGGGGTGGGTATAAAAGATGGGGTCTGTAAAATCTTTCTTTCTTAGAAATTTATTTCCTAGTTCTGTAGAAATGGTTGTATTAGATGTTCTCTATCATTTAATAATATACTTGTGGACTAAAAGATATAAGTGCTGTATAAAATCAGCCAATTATGTTAAACTAGCATATCTGCCTTTATTGTGTTTGTCATTAGCCTGAATAGAAAGGCCTTTAAAATTGATTTTTTTAGAAAGCATTTGAATGCATTTTGTTTGGTATTGTATTTATTCAATAAAGTATTTAATTAGTGCTAAGTGTGAACTGGACCCTGTTGCTAAGCCCCAGCAAGCAATCATATCTTAGGTAGGGTTAAATCCCCAGTAAAATTGCCATATTGCACATGTCTTAATGAAGTTTGAATGTTAAATAAATTGTATATTCACTTTAAAGGTGTTTTGGTGATTTTATTTTTTCAGAACCCCATACTTACAAAAAGCAAAGTTACAGTCACAGGAGGTATTTTGTTATCTTAACAATTCTGAGTTAACTGTTGCATCACAGTTGCACAAAGGCTTATCAGTTGTAGATGTTCATCAGCACCATCTGCTAAGCATTTATCAACTTCCTAGAAGGAAATTTAAAAAGGTTAGTAATAAATGTTCAAATGTCCTTCAGGCATAGTTGTGTTTCCTTTATGTGCAGAGTGCCTACTTACAGCAAGTTTTTCTGTAATAATGGACTTCTGTTTATCAGAAAGGTCATCATTTTCTACAACCACATCATGAAGTTGATTTACAAGCTGGGTTGCTGCATGACCCTCATCTATTAAGTCCTATAAGAGAAAAAAAAAGCTTGGTAGGATCACTTAAAATTTTCCCCCAGAAGTTAGTAAACTGACATTACCTTTACCACAGCTTCTAGTCTGTCAAAGGAGCCACTTTGGCAGGCAGCAAATATTCCATCGATTATCTCAGCTGGTATTACCTGAAAAGGTAATTAAAGATGTTTCTGAGGAAATTTGGGCATTCCCTCCCCTGACTCCCTTCTGTTCCATACTTGGAATACCTGCATAGCTCATGTGTGCACAGGACATAGAACCAATGCTCCAATTAACCCTGTGTAGTTTGGAAGGCAAAGGGAGAGAACTGGAAAAAGGCCAGCATAACTCCATGTAGTCGTTTGCCTTACAGTCCAGTCAGTCATCACTGTACAAGCAAGGTGATAAAAGTTTTGCTCTTGAAGTCCTTTAATGGTTCCTTTGTGTGAAGTACACAAGATTTACTTTTTCCTCCAAATAATCCAGTAAATCAAGTTTGGGCCCATGTGGAACAAGAACAGCCGCTCTGGTCAATGGGTATGAAAATTCCCACTTGTGAAACCTACTCTCCTTTTTCTCTAACCCTGAGGTACACCAGTGGCTACAACGATTCTTTAGAACAGTGGCCAAAAGCAGCCAAATAGATGGAAAAAGTGAGTTTTAAAAGGGGAAAGTGCCTTTTCTCTAGGTTTTTCTCCATTTAAAGATGCCAATGATTAGACCAGTTGATCTTAAAAGTCCACAATACCCAGAAAGTTAGAGGTCTAATGCTGTCAGTCTTATGCCTAATGTAGGTGAAAAATATCTTGAACAAAATTTTCAAGGTAATGATTCTGAATAGAGTTTGGACATGGGAGTATCCAAAGGTGTGATACTCTTGTTTTCTTTAATGATTTCCGTAAGTTGGATATGCCTTTTTTTAATGTTTAATGTCAGAACAGGGTATCTGCTGAAAATTACTTTAAACTGCTACAAAGTCACCATTTCCCTCCTATAAATGTAAGAATTGAAAGTGTTTTCTGCAGTGATTTACTATAAACATGCCTGGCAAACTGAAAAGGCAGTATTACTTCCTCTCTGAAGCATTCTGATACTCCCAGGTTATATTCCCTTACTATACACTTACTAGCATAGTACTTGGCACATGATGAGCTTTCAGGGTATATCTGTTGGACGAAGATTCTCTAAAAGCCAATATAAAAGAATTTCAGAATAGTACTCTTACCCCAGCAATGTCTGTAATCACTTTCTCCGTAATCTCCTTCCCACCCGTTAAGCGAGTAGCACTCTGAAGAAAGGTAATGGCTTTTCTTAAGTCTCCTTCTGACACTTTAACAAGATAAGGTATTACCTGAAGACAAAAATAATTGTTTTTAACCTATGCTGGCTAATTAAGGCTATATGACTTTAATGAAGAAAAGTGAAAAACACTGTTTTAGCCTAGAGTTAATGAGAAAACCGTTTCTATTTTGGGGGGAATATTATCAGTATAGTGGCAAAATTAATGGAGACAGCATCAGTCTAACTGAAAGATAAGAGATCTCTTGCCTCTGAAAGAAACCCGAAGAGATAAAAAGATGTTCCATACTTCTCATCCTATTTTCTTGATCACACAAAGCAAAGAATATTCAAACTATGATTAAGTTGTTAGAATATATAGGACCCTTATTAATTATATCAGTTGAAGTGGAATATTAACTAGGAAATTAAAATCTACATGTATGAAATCCACTACATGTATGAAATCCACTCCAGAGGTGAGCTACATGTATGAAATCCACTCCAGATGTGAGTCTCTGAAATACTAATAGATAATAAAAGATGTCAGAAAAGCTAAGCCTTGTAATTCCTAGACATTCCAACTGTTGCTCATTTAGCTTAAGTCTGTCTGAAGAAATGGTATCAGGACCTCTTCACATGCATTCATGAAAGGAATTAGTAATTATAAATAATAATAGTAATTACCTCATTGCTAATTTGGACATTTTCCTTCTCAGCAATGTCTAGTAATCGCTGCTGTTGAATTTTATCTGACAGAGGCTTGAAGCGGAATTTTGAACATCTAGAGGTCAGGGGTTCGATTATTCTGTAAAAGATTGGAAAAAACAAGTCAGATCTAAAGAAAATTTCCCCAGCAGAAATCATTTTTATCAAGAACAAATCAAGACTTGATGGAGAAAAAATATAGTCTTGAAAAATTTTAATTTTTTCTCTAATTGGCATTACCAAAATAACACTGTTTAGCATCTATCTTCAGGGTAATATACATACCGACTGACATAGTTACAAATGAGACAGAATCGGGTGGTTTTAGACTCTTTCTCCATGGTACGTCTTAAAGCTGCCTGAGCAGCTGAAGTCATAGAATCTGCTTCATCCAAAATCACAATCTTAAAAGGAGGACATGGTTTCCCACTGATTTGGACAAACAACATAGGAGTTAAACATCAATACGTATGTTGTTTTTAATAGCTTTATTGACATATACACATACCATACAATTCACCAATATAACATGTACAATTCAGTGTTTTTCAATATATTGAGTTGTGTAACCATCACTATAATCTAATTTTAAAACATTTTCATCACTCCCAAAAGAAACTGTAGGCCCAATAGGAAGTAACTCCTCTCGCTCAATACTCCCAGCTCTAGGCAATCTCTAGTCTACTTTCTGTCTCTTTAGATTTGCCTATGTGTATATTTCATATAAATGGAATCATACAACATGTGGTCTTTTGTGGCTGGCTGTTTTCATTTAGCATAATGTTTTCAAGGTCCATCCATGTTGTAGCATGTGTTTGCTTCATTCCTTTTTTATTGTCAAATATTTTATTCATCCATCAATCAGTTGGACATTTGGGTTGTTGCCATGTTTGGGCTGTTAGGAATAATGCTATGAACATTTGTTTACATGTTTTTGAGCAGACATGTTTTCCAAGAGCTGCACCATTTTACATTACAACTAGCAATGTATGAGGTTTACGAATTCTCCACATCCTTGCCACAATACTTGTTATTTTCTGTCTTTTTGATTATGGTCATCCTAGTGGGTATTTCACTGTGGTTTTGATTTTCATTTTCCTAATGGCTAATGTTGCTGACTGTCTTTTCATGTGCTTACTGGCCATATGTATGTGTTCTTTGGAGAAATGTCTATTCAAGTTCTTTTCTCATTTTTTGGATTATTTGCTTTTATTACTAAGTTTTAAACATTCTTTATATATTCTGGCTATATGTATACATTTTCAAATATATGATTTGTAAATATGTTCTCCAATTTTGTGGGTTTTTACTTTCTATACATTGATTTTTGGTAATCTGGCATTAAAGTCTTTCTCCCATCAAAAGTGGCATTAACACAACAGGATAAAAATTACACCAAGAAAACAGATTTCAAATATTACAAGTAGAGGGGATCTCAGAGGTCTTTCAGTCTATATCCCAGTCTTTATTTCATAAAAGGGGAAACTGAGTGCTGCAGAGGTTGTGACTATATTATCAAATCTAGGTACATATAAAAAATCAGTCATTCACTTTCTATAATTTTGAAGTGCGCTCTCATGTAAACTTTAAATATATATCTAGGTGCCAAAAATTTAATCTTGGAATTTAGCCATCTAAAAAATGTAAGTAATTGACTAAATCCCTGTTTACTTTGAGGCAGAACAGTCCTATTTTAATTATTAACATCTTCTTTAACTCTAAAAGTGTCCCAGTTTGGACAAGAACTTACATGGTCACCCTAACTATGAAATACGCACTGGTCCACGGCCACACCACCCCGAACGCGCCCGATCCCGTCTGGTCTCGGAAATACGCACTGAAGCTTAAGATATCTGACAGAAAGGGGAAGTCACTTTTTTTCCCTAACTGCAAAAATCAGGATTTTTATTATGAGTGCATACTGCCAAATGAAATTTTATTAATGAATATTCCTTAGACAAAATATCAGTAAAAAGATGATTTCTGGGCTTAAATAATTTAGATTAAAATACGATCTAACATGAAAAAAGTTGAAAATTTGGCAGAAACATGTATTTAAAACAAACATGCTATGGAGACTGGAAGGCAAGTTTACTTACTCTGAACGACTTCCTGATACAGTTAATTGAGCAAAATTTTTCACTTTCTCTCGAACTACTTGTATTCCACGTTCATCAGATGCATTTAACTCAAGAACTCTTGATCTAAAAAGTTCAGGCCTATATAAAAATGAAACAAATATGAAGCATAGAACATACAAACAACCTAGGCTTAAATCACATTTTAACATTTGTACACTTTGTGGTAGTTTAAAATCTACCTAGTAAACAATATGGATAGAAGGCACACAATCACTTCTGTATTCTCTTTTTGCAGAGCCATGTGGTTTACATTTTGGCTTTTTTCCATGCATTTAAAAAAATACAGATATTACAAAACACAAAATTTTAAATCAATTTTCTACTTTGCATTGTATAATAAACATCTTGGCATGTTCTCAAAACCACTGTAAATGCCATTTTAATGGTTATATATTTATCCTATGGGTATATCATCATTTACTTAATTTACTTAACATTCTTCTATTGTCAGACATCTGGACAGTTTCAAATATATTACAATTTAAATAATGTTACAATATAGCACATTTCAAATTATTTCCAGAATTGCTTTCTATAAGGAAAATTACTAGATTAAAATACAAACAGTTTTTTAAAGCTGAGTTTTTAAAAAAGATACTAAAATATATGCTTAGTAGAGAAATCTGAGAAATCAAAAGAAAATAAAAATAACTGACTGGCACACCCTATCAATTCACTGTTTTGAAACTTTTCTCTATTCTTTTTCTATATAAAATAAAAAAACAGGAGTTGTGATTTAGTTTGGTCTTTATTTTTCCTAATCAGCTTATCTTAAGTACTTTTCTATGGGCATAAACATTTAGAAAGCTCCGTGCATGTATTTTCTATTTTAAAAACATATATACTATTAAATATGAAATTTACTATTCTTTTAGTTAAGGACAAACATTATTTTATAAAGCATAAGGAAAAAGTTATATCATCTGGACTGATCTACTCCAGGATAATAATAAAAAAATGACATAACACTTTCATTATGATTATATTGCTAAGGCTAGTTCAGCTTAGTTCCATCTGATTGACCTGTGGAATAATTAAAAACCCCTTTTATAATTTTCTTGAGAAACTTGTCAAATAAATAAAATATTAGGCTTACAACAGCTTCTCCCTTTGTCTTCTTTTACATTTTGACATAATTATGCTTACACTTATGGTGGCTTAAGAGACATGTAATTATTTTCATATGTGTCATCTCAGATGTTCCCTTTGGTTATATGTCTGATACAAAAATTCTGGGTAAATTCAAGCCTTTGTTAAGCTGGTGCACATTTCACATACATCAGACTCAGGGCACTATATATATTTTAACTCTAGATAAAGGGGGCTCCTCTAGAATGGCTGGTTAAGCCAGACAGTCAATCTAGGAAGAGAAACCTAAGAAAGTGGCTCAGAGGGAGATTTTCTGGTGTCCTTGGAATCTTAACACTTCATCTACCACCCACTCTGTTTACACTCAAGAGACCTGAGGGCAAGAAGCTGGCCTGGCCACTCCAGAGGCAGGGCCTAGAAGTCCTCAGCAGAAGGAATTCAAGAAGGAATGGTGCAGATAGTACCATTAGATACAACAGATTTATCAGAGTCATACAGATATGAATATAATCATTAAGAGGGTTATAAAACTATCATCACAACTGGAGATTGGTTGGGCTCTCTGGGCCTCAAAATCATAACAAATTTAAAGAAAGTCAAAGTGATGGAAAAAAAAATCACAGGCTCCCTGTGTTGTAGTGCATTCAAACATCTGAACATGATTCAGAATGAAGGTTACAAAAGATGTAGACAAGCTTATTGGAGAAGAAGGAAATGAGTCCATAGGATTGATTTTTAAAATTCAGAAATAAATAGAAACCTAACAACCCCACAGAGAAACCAAATGCAAAGTTTTATAGAGGAAAAAAAGCAATATCAGAGAATTTTGGTGTCACCTCTTAAAAAGAGAGAGAGATTGATTTCAACTTACCCAAAAAGTTCTCTAGCTGCTGCTAAAATAGTGGATGTTTTTCCAGTTCCAGGTGGCCCATAAAACAACAGATTAGGGAGCTGTAGAAATTTAATATTTTTATAAATTATATTCTGACACAAATAGATGAAAGTGATGACTGTTAGGCTGACTTAGGATGGGAACCCAAAAAGTATGTATAGGACATAATACTAAGAGAGTGATCATAAAGCCTGTGAAACAAAAGCTGCAGGAGTCTGGAGAGTCTACGGTTGTAAATCTAACTTCAACCACAGACAGCGGCAGGACCAAAGATAGCTACAGCGATGCCGGCATTCCTATCCCCCCTGATAAGGGAAAAGCTACCTCCTCCCCAATTTCTGAAGGTATTACTAACTCCGCTCACTTCCACCCTACTAGAAAAACCCTCTATAAAACACAAGGCTTTCCCCTCCCTCGGGGGTGGATGCTCTTTGGCCTCCACCCATCTGCACCCAGATGCTCAAAATAAATAGCATTTTGCTATACCCTTCGTGTGTCTCTCTCTTGGCTCTGGACCTAACAATGACTAAAAGAAATGTGGAACAGTGCATTGACATTTTAAATTCCTGTTTTTTCACATATTATCACTTTTTTCAAAAATGTGTTTTTAATCTCTTAAACTGAATGAATATTTATGCTTGCTCTATAGCTAATCTACTTAAGTGAAATTTTCAAACCTGGAATTAGAAACCTCTTATTTCTGAAGGGAATCTCAGGCTCCTGTCTCTATCTCACTTCTTTGTTGAAGATTGGGTGAAATGTTATATTATATAAAGATGTCAGCTGCTTCAAAGAGGAAATAGACCAAAGGAGTAATGGGATTTGGCCAATACTGAGGAAAAAGGACTGAAAAAGACATATTAGGGCTTTGAATAAGCTGAATTTCCAAGAACAATTAACAACAACAACAAAAAAACTTAACATCTATCTATTAAGTGCTAGGTACTATTGCATATGATTATGTATCCTGAAGGGATGCTTGCATGTATCAGGGAAAATTCACTAGAAGAAAGGATAAGATTAAACAACTAGCTATCTTCCTTTATACCTTGGATCTAGCTAGTTTGGCTCCTACCAAGCAGCCAACTGATCTGTGGTGAAGATTAATAAATGTACTACATTCTACTGACCTCTGTTATGAAACTGTACACCCCTCAATGTGTCCTTTCATGTAGCGAAATCATTGCACACAGGAATCCAAGCAATAATTTGTTTGCTTCCACTCTTGCCTAAACTTCCCTCTTCCTGTCTATTCATTTTTCACTCAAATCAGATACCACTCTGCTCGCTACTTAAAACTATTCACGGGCTTCACACTCCACTTAGAAAAACATAAACAAATTTTAAAAACCCAAACTGTTTACTATGGCTTCTAAAGACTTCTAAAGGCTTCTCGCCACCTTCTTAACTTTCTAGGTCTTATAAAGGTCTCTAACACCTAAGCACTTTCTGGCCTGAACATATGTTGTTCCCATGACCATGAGTTTGATTTCCTTTTTCTGCATGGCAAACTCCTAATGCATTGTAAGTCAGAAACCTTCCCTGACCACCCAAAGTTGTTTTCTTCTCATTCTCTCAGTAGTCTTTATAGTACTTGTTACAATTTACATTTATTTATTGTTATTTATTTAACTGTTGGATTTAATTGTAAAATGCTTGTCTACCTCACTAGATGGTAACATTTAAAAGACCCGGAAATTTATTTGTTCTATTCACATCTGTATCCTTAGCATCTACTCTAGTACTCAATATCTGCCAAATGTATAAAACACACAAATATGTTAAGTAAAAGACTATTACTTTTATATTGATAACATATAGTATACCTTAAGATACAAGCCATGAGATTCATTACTTAAAAACACAGCCCCCCAAAATCCTCCTAGGCTTAGTTTTTAAGTTTTATAACTATTATTTTGATCTGTGCATACCCCAACATTTGTAAGGATTTATCCAGGTTAACTATTACATATAATACTTTAAATTTTTTAAAACAAGGTAAAATTATTAGGCCTTACATTATATAATAGTCTAACATATGTGGTACATTTAAGAACTGCATGCAGAATACCAGTTCTTAAAATTGATATCTGAAAAATTTATCTTATTGTAATTCTTTCTAACCTTTTCAAATAAAGGAGTGAATTATTAATATTTTCCTTTACTCTTTTTGTTGTGTTTTGTTTTTTTTTTTTTACAGACAGGGTCCCACTCTGCTGCCCAGGCTGGAGTGTAGTAGTGTGATCATAATTCACTGTAACCTCAAACTCCCAGGGTCAAGCAACCCTCTAGCCTCAGTCTCCCCAGCAGCTAGGACTACAGGTGGATGCTACCACGCTCACCTAATTTTTTAAAATACTTTTTTGGAGAGATGAGGTCTTATTATATTGCCTAAGCTGGTCTCAAACTCCTGGCCTCAAGTGATTCTCCTGCCTCAGCATCCCAAAGTGCTGGGATGAGCTACTGTACCTGGCCTTCTTTATTCTTTAGAATTAAAAAAAATTACCTTATCTTTTTACAAAACTTATTCTGAAAAGAAGCACAAAATATTAAAACAAGAGGTTAAAAGAGGAAGTTCTTAATTCAGCCTTGTAAATTAGAGGGCATAAAGTCAAGAACTGGATCTTGGCCAGACCCGGTGACTCACACCTGTAATCCTAGCACTCTGGGAGGCCGAGGCGGGAGGATCGCTCAAGGTCAGGAGTTCAAATCAAAACTAGCCTGAGCAAGAGCGAGACCCCATCTCTACTAAAAAATAGAAAGAAATTCTAACTAAAAATATATATAGAAAAAATTAGCCGGGCATGGTGGCACATGCCTGTAGTCCCAGCTACTAGGGAGGCTGAGGCAGCAGGATTGCTTGAGCCCAGGAGTTTGAGGTTGCTGTGAGCTAGGCTGATGCCACGGCACTCTAGTCCAGGCAATAGAGTGAGACTCTGTCCCAAATAAAACAAAAAAATACAAACAAGAATTGGATCTTAATCCCACTACATTTGCTAAAGAGCTGAAGATACTAGTTATTATTAAATAAATTAGATATTTTTCTATAATCTTTGTAAATATTACTATGCAATTAAAATTGTATATTGTTATAAAATTAGAAAGTAAAGGGTTATTTGGATCAAATTAAAACAACTACTGGTAAAGCAAAAGATTCTAAATAGTTTTATAAATTTAACTTCTTTCAAAATGTGTCCTGTAGTAGTATAATTCTAGGAGGAGAACAATGGCAGCAAAACCCAAAAGAATTAATTAAAAGCAGCCAGATTGAGGAGAAGGACACAGATCTTGGGAATAAAACAAAACCATATCCCACTTTTATCTACAACTTTTCCCCTCCCTTCACTGAGCTCTTAAAGCACTTTGGACACTTCATCATATACAATTTTTAGTTGTGATTTCTTCATTTGAGTTTATCTTGCCTCTGAATAATTTAAAATGCAAGCTACTCAAGGATATTTCATCCCACATATCACAGCATGAGACACAATGCTCTAAGCAAAATCAAATGCTCTAATTTTTTTTTTTATTATAGCTTAAACCAAATCCTAAAGTTAGGTGAGCAATTATTTTTTCAAGGAATCTCTGGGCCTGGCACAGTGGCTCACACCTGTAAGGAAGTGGGAGGCCAAGGCAGGCGGATCGTTTGAGCTCAGGAGTTAGAGACCAGCCTGAGCAAGTGCGAGAACCCATCTTTACTAAAATTAGAAAGAAATTAGCTGGTCAACTAAAAATATACACAAAAAACTTAGCCAGGCATGGCTGCACATGCCTGTAGTCCCAGCTACTTGGGAGGATGAGGCAGGAGGATCGCTTGAGGCCAGGAGTTTGAGGTTGCTGTGAGTTGGGCTGATGCCACGGCACTCTATCCTGGGCAACAGAGCGAGAGTGTCTCAAAAAAAAAAAAAAAGAATCTCTGACTCTTTACAGCACATGTCATTTTTATTTATTTGGTTTGCTTGTTTATTCTTTCTCTCCCCACCAAACAAAAGTTAATGAAAAAAGGGACCTAAGTTTGTCCTGGTCAATGATCTTTACTTGAATACTACATAACAAGTTTATATAGGATTGAATAGGAAATGCTTAATAAGTATTTGTTGAATTAATCAACATTGTGCAAATAGTTATCAAATAGGACTTACTATATATACAGTATAGTATTTAATGGGGGTGAGAGGTTATAAGGGAAGGAAGAATAAATTAAGCCATAAATCTCCTAATGACACTGAACACCATTTGTCACTCACATCAGCTCCTTCTAAAGACTTTTTCAGCACTGCAACAACTTCATCCTGGAAAGCAACTTCATCCACAGATTTTGGGCGACTGGAGGAGGAGGAAGGGAGTGGGGAAGAAAGAGGAGTTATTTAGTTTATTACAGTAGCCACACAGAAAAGTCTCGAGTGTTCCTTCCACTAAAATACCAATAACAATTCTCAAATATCAGTAATGAAATGAGAAACTTTTTCATAATTGGAGATAGGTGGAAACCCCATTTGTATTTACCTTAAGCAAATATATACTAAAATAATTTTTCACCTCCCATCTGCATTGCTTACATCTGTTATGCTCACAAAAATTAAGGAAAAGAATTTTATTTTATATACCACAAATGCTAATTCACAAATTCTAAGGTAACTTTTAGTTCCAAGGTTCTATAACTGGGTGATTTTCAAGGACATCATCTAAACAGAGCAAATCACACCTCCATAAGTAAAGAACTGGTTAGAGAAGCAATTTATTACTTATTTTAACAAAAACACAAGTGTTCTTACTATTTTTCCACCCAGGGAACAGGTTTGGCTTTCTTGTTTTCTCCACTGCTTCCTGCTGTGGCAGCTACTCCTCGATGATCCTTGGTCAATGGTGGTTTAGTACTGATAGATGTGCCTTTTAGAAATGCCTGCATGGTTACTTCACCCTGACCAGGTACAAGAGAAAAAATGAAAAGCTTTTTTGAAACCATTGCAAGGAAGTTGAATGCACACTTAGCCTTGTGCAAAGGCATCAATAATTACTTAATAAAGAACACCACTGCATGACCTAGGACACTCTGAATGCATTGTACATACATGGGACATAAAAGAGGCCAAAGTCCTTAAGGAACTTAGAATCTATTTACAATAGAACAAAGGTAAACAGTATGTCAGAAAAGTTTTTAAGAGTCCTAAACATATTGATAAATATGAGGTCACTAATGGCCAAACTGTACACAGTTCTCTAAAGTCTCTTCCATTTCATTCATGGGCCTAGCTCTAGCTCAGACCCTGAAATGGACTTAGCAATTAAAAGTGCCAGCACCACAAGTGAGAACTCTTACTTCTTTTCTTGGGCCAGAGCTCCATTCAAGGACCTGTTTTGTTGGTAGAGCCAAATGCCTGCCTTTAGAGATTTTTGTGGGAAAGGAAGGGTGAGGGTATAGAAACAGCTATTTTTCTGATAACATGCCCATTTGAAGAAATCCAAACAATGCATACAAGCATAAGGAATATTAAAAAATTCATGCAAAATCCCACCCATAAAATAACTACTACTACTACTAACATTCAGGTATATATTTTTCCAGGCTGTTTTTAGGGATAAAAAAGCATCCTTAGCTTACCTGAAAATCCCTAGCATTTGTGGCAATTCTATTTTTTTCACTGCTACATGTCCTGGTCCCTAGAACAGTGCCTGATACATGTTAGATGCTCCATAATATTTGGTAAATGAATTAACATCTATGAGACTCAGTTTCCTGTTCTGTAAACTGAACTATTCCTATGCCTATTCCTTAAGGCAACTGAATTAAATAAAAGAGTGTATGCAAACACGTAGTTCTGCGCTTGGCAGATGGGTATATACTCAAGAATATACAATACACTTTTAATATCTGTAAACACACCAGGTTTTTAACGTTATTGAATTACTCCATCCCTGTCTCGGGCTGCTAAACATTAAAACAGCCCGAAGCAGGGCTCTGAAAGATGCTGTTCCTAACCACTCTTTCACCAAAGGGTTCAGGCAAGCTATGAGAGGTTGGCTATGCTGGAGCTACGACGAAGGTGGAAGACTTCACGGGGCAATCGGGGGCAGGAGTAGGGAAGGCGAAGGCAAACGTGCAACTTCTCCAGCAGGTCCCCCGTTAAGTCCACTTACCGTGTAAGGTAGCCGCCACAGCCTGGGCCTTGCAGCCGCTCGTCACCGGAGCGAGCACGCCGCCGGCTCGTCCTCAGGGTTTCCAGAATAGGGAAACGCCGAGGTGGTTGCGAAGTCGTCGCTCCGTCCCCCAAGCTGAGAATAACAGGCCTAGGCGACTCACAGTCACCGCGGCTCCCACTGTCGCCTCCGTTCCCGCCACGGAACAGCTAGCGCAGAGCAGGGCGGGAAGACGCACGTATGGCGTCATTTCCGGCTCCGTCGCGAGCAGCCCCAGGAGGGGGTAGTTTGCTCGCCGCGGGTGGCGGTTATTTAGACCTGCGGTGAGACCTACGGACTTTCTGGGAGGAATGGACTGTAACAGGCATGACCAAGGAGGTGTAAATAACGTTTCACCCTGTCCCCGTGCGTTGCTGCCCTCGGGACCTGAGCTGCGGCCGGGCGGGCGCGCTCAGCGACGTGGGCAGGGGCGCCGCGCCGGTCTCGGGATCCGGCGGTCCACCTAGGTCACAAAGAGCCCCGCTCTCTTTAGGTACCGGCCTGCGGAACCCGACCTCGCTGTGAGCTCCATTTGCAGTCATCGGGTGTCTCACCGGCATCTGAGCGGCGACATAATTCGGCTTGCAACCGGCTTCTCTCCAAAGGACCGGGATTGGCAAGGGTGGGGCCTATCTTCCGCCAGAAGAGGGCAGCCTGCGGATCCCTGTCTTTTGCGTCCTGCTGTGTAGCAGAGCAGTACGCCTGTGCTTTAACAGCCGAGACATCTGAAGAAGATGCCTTTCCTTGCCCTCTTGAGGCCACATTGCTTACACCTCCAGTAGTGTCTACCCGTTGTGGAGAGGCAGGAACATGCAATCATGGACATCCTTTAATTCCGGAGCTCTGCTTAGAAATCTGGTAGTACGGGCGCTTAATAAAAGTTAAAAGATTGATCATCATATTTAACCCCACCAAGGTTTATGCACCTAGGCAGGTGTCAGAGCCCACCCTTTTTATCTTTCCTAAGTACTTGGTTTAGCTCTGAATTGTTCCTTAATCCTATTGAAACCTGGCCTTTCTCAAATTCTGCCTTCTCCACAGTTCTTCACTATTTACTTAACCTATAAAGTTGATCTGGGTCTTCTCCAAGTGAGTGACTAAAAGTTTTGTTTGGCACAGACTCAGCATGGTATTCATTAAGTTTACATGTTGATTCATTTGTCTCGCAACAAATGCTTATGGAATGCCTTTGCACTGTGCTAGGTGCTAGCAGTACCGCAGGGAAAAAACTGTGGAAGATGCCCTGAAATAGTTTTACAGGCTAGGAGAATGACAGACAATGTGATGTGTGTTATGCAGAGGAAGTTGGGAGCTGTGAGAAATATCTCAGGTTTAACTTAATCAAGGGTTTAACCAGATTGACTAAGGGTGCTTTATGCTACTTTTTTTAAGTTCCACAGGGCCTGGTACAATCCCTGGACAGTTTAAAAAGCACATACATTGCCTGTCTGGTCACTGGTTTACATTATCATAATTCACCAAACTGTACACTTAATGTTTGTACATTGTATGTAAATTATACCTCAATGAAGTTGACAAAACACAGATCTGTGAAAACAGATGGTATCCATTTGCCACCTGAACAAACCACAACCACACAGGAGATATTATAATCCCATTTAACAGATAAGGAAGCTGAGGCTTAGATGGATAAAATGGTCTTTGTCCATTTGGGCTGCTATAACAAAATACCATAGATTGGGTAGCTTATAGACAACAGAAATTTGTTTCTTATCGTTCTAGTGGCTGGGAAGTACAAAATCCAGGTGCTGTCAGATTCAGTAGCTGATGAGGGCTTGCTTCCTCATAGCTATCTTCTCACTTTAACCTCACTTGCTATAAAGGGCTGACTAGCACCCTCCAGCCTTCCTTATAAAGGCACTAATCCCTTTAAGGAAGGCTCTATCCCCTAATACCATCACATCGTGAGGCTGGGCATGTTGGCTTATGCCTCATGCCTGTCATCCTAGCACTCTGGGAGGCCATGGCAGGAGGATTGCTTAAGGTCAGGAGTTTTAGACCAGCCTGAACAAGAGTGAGACCCCATCTCTACTAAAAATAGAAAGCATTAGTGTGGCGTGGTGGCTGAGGCAGGAGGATTGCTTGAGCCCAGGAGTTGGAGGTTGCTGTGAGCTAGGCTGATACCATGGCACTTTAAGCTTGGCCACAGAGGGAGACTCTGTCTCAAAAAAACAAAAAAACCCATTATTTTGGGGGTTATAATTTCAACACAGTAATTTTTTTTTGGGGGGGACACATACATTCAGACCATAGCAAAGGTTAATAGCAAATAAGTGGCAAAACCAGAATCTACATCTATGACTCTCTCTCTCCAGAATCAAGGATTGGAATCAGTCACTGGGCAGATCCAGGGCTGGCATAGAGATGCCTTTACGTTAAGTAGAAAAAAAGAGACTTGAAAGGTAACCTGTTTTGGCAATTGGTTTAGAAAGAGTCCCACTTTCTTCCAGGCATATTCAGCCTTTGATGGGGTGAAAGACTTGGTGATAAGAGGTTGGGCTGGATTTCAACCTTCACTTACCCTCTCAGCTGACCGTTCCATTCTTGTACATAACTGTCAGCAGCATCCTAATCCAGGTAGTTCATTAATTTATGTGCACACCAAGTATTGTCTTTGTCACCAGAACAAGAAATATTTTTATATAATACATATCATTTATTGTATTATACATACATGGTGATCATATTTTTAAAGCAGTAGTTTATAATAGCTTGTATTACTTATTCTCTTTTCAATTCGATTTAATTTTTTTTAAAGATGGGATCTTGCTCTGTTGCTCAGGCTGGAGTGCAGTGACCCCATTGTAGCTCAGAGCAGCCTTGAGCTCTTGGGCTCTAGCAGTCCTTCCACTTCAGCTTCCCAAGTAGCTGGGACTACCAGTATGCACCACTAAACTTGGCTAATTTTCCCTATTTTTTTAGTGACAGGGTCTTACTGTGTTGCTCAGGCTAGTCTCAAACTCCTGGCCTTAAGCAATCCTCCTGTTTCAGTCTCCTGAGTTGCTGGTATTATAGGTATAAGGCACTATGCCTGGCTATTATTTATTTTTAATGGGTATGCATCTAGTTACTATTGTGCTATGAATATGTGGAAATTTGTGAAGTTTTTTTTTTTTTTTTTGAGATGGGGTCTCACTATATTGTTCAGGCTGGCTTTTATCTTCGGGATTCAAGTGATATTTCTGCCTTAGCCTTCCAAGTAACTAGGATTGCATGCACATGCCACCATGCCTGGCTGGTTTGTGAAGTTTTTTTTAATCTTAAAAGGCCAGCCCTGGATCTGCCCAGTGACTGATTGAATAAACACTGGCTTGAGTAAATACTATTTCTTTCTTTGTATTTTTTATTTTTATTTTTTTCTTTATTTCTTTTTTCTTCTTGTTCTTTTTTTTTTTTTTTTTTTGCCTCAATTATTTGAGTCATTTTTTTTGTTTTGTTTTTGAGGCATAGTCTAACTTTTTTGCCCAGGCTAGAGTGCTGTGCCATTAGCCTAGCTCACAGCAACCTCAAACTGCTGGGTTCAAGCGATCCTTCTGCCTCAGCCTCCCAAGTAGCTGGGACTACAGGCATGTGCCACCATGCCTGGCTAATTTTTTCTGTATATTTTTTTAGTTGTCTGGCTAATTTCTTTCTATTTTTAGTAGAGACAGGGTCTCGCTCTTGCTCAGGCTGGGCTCAAACTCCTGAGCTCAAATGATCCTTCTGCCTTGGCCTCCCAGAGTGCTAGGATTACAAGCGTGAGCCACCATGCCCACCGGTCCTATTTTTCTCTTTAAAAGACATATCAAATGTTTTGAGAATTGATGTTGATGTTGATTATTCATTTTCTTAGCTTACTACAAAGTATTTTTTATTTTTATAAAAAGGATACCAATTCCCTCTTGGTGATTATTAGTAACTCTGATTCTTTTTGGTCCTAGACTGATTTGCAAAGGAAATATACACTTCAGAGATATACTGATCTAAATATACAAGTTAAAACTCTGGTTCACAAAGGAAAACTTTGCAAAAGGTCCTGATCTAGTCCAGGAACTTAATTAATCCTAAAATTTCTCCTTTTGTGAGCTCTAGTTTACTAGTGTGGCAGATTGGACAGAAATTAGCTGTGTGATTTAACATTCACAAGGCGGCAGCAGCACTAACTCAGTGATTGAGTACAAGTGCTTGAGATCCTACACATTCAGGTTTGAGCCCAGCTCTACCCCTTTTACCTTAATTCAATGTGCCTTGCATTCTTAATCTTTTGCTTTACAAAGTGGAAGTGACACCTTATAGTATCCCTAAGAGGATTAAAGGAAATAAGAGCTCCAAGCAGAGCCTGGCTCAGAGTAAACTTTCACTCATGTTACCACTATGGTACCCCCTACGTTCCTCCAAAGGAACAGGATAAAGCCCTGACTCAGGCCCTCTGCCAGGGAATGAGAAGTTTCTTTAAGGTAGCTCCTGCTTTCTCCGTCAAAATGAAATGGTCTTGGGCCTGGGGGTGGTGGCTTATGTCTACAATCCCAGCATTTTGCGAGGCCAAGGTGGGAGGATGGCTTGAGGCCAGGAGTTCAGGACCAGGTTGAATAAATCTGTCTCTACAAAAAAAAAAAAAATAGAAAAATTAGCTGAACGTGTTGGTGCACACCTGTAGTCCCAGCTACTCAGGAGGCTGAGGCAGAAGAATGGGTTGGGCCCAAGAGTTTGGGGTTGCAGTGAGCTACGTATGATAATGCCACTGCACTCTAGTCTGGGCAACAGAGTGAGACCCTGTCTCAAAAACAAACCAAAAAAATCAAATGAAATAATATTGAAGTTTGTATATACAATATTTACCTGTCTTTTCCATTAGATGAGAGAAATTTCTAGAAGGAACCAAACAAAAATATAGTTTGACCATTAAAGAGCGGTGGGAAGAACTGCCACCTTACTAGCTCCATCTAGAGTGGTTCCATTCTGCCATCTAGTGGGACAGGAAGGGGAAAGCCAAATTTAAAGTCAAATATTTAATAATTTTGTCATGACTTTGTTGTCAACACTTGTAATTTACCAAAAAGTGTTTTCCGATTAATATAATTTAAACTCTGTACTAAGTTCACCTATTACTAGATTCTCTTAACTTTATAAAGAAAAACAACTCAGCATTCTAAACACTGAGCACCAAAACTAAATTTCCCAAAGCATTTATATTTACAGAGTATGAATTACAAATATCATCTACAGAGGGAAGAGAGAATGCTTGTGAATTTTTTCTTTTTTATTTTTTTAGAGTCTGGAACAGTTTTCTTTCAATGTGGACCATTTGTAACAGAATTAGTTGGAAACTAGTTAGATTTCAGGATCCAGGATCTAAAAAACCCAGACCCTGCTGCATTGGGGACTGGGAATTTGTATTTTTGACAAGCAGCAATTCTCCTATTATGTGAACATCCATAGAAGCGGCCTTAGTTTTTCACAACTGCATTCCCAGTTTTACAATTCCATGATCATTCTGAAAAGTTGAAAATCAAAGGAAAGTTAAATGAAATGAAAGTTAAGGTTTTAAGAACAAAAAAAACCTAAGGAACATAAAGACTACAAAAACCTTTTCAACCAGCAGGCATGGTTTGAACAAAACCTCACATTAAAGACAGCTGCTACTAACCTAAGAGGAAATGAGAACCTAGATTACTGAAAGGATTGCACAGTTTTACACTTGATCTTAGCCAAAAGGCCGAGAAGCGATGATTGCACAGTTTTAGTCTGTGGAACGCTTACCATATGCTTTTTTGTTTGTTTCTTTGGTTTTAGATGCTATTTAAGGTGTTCACACCAAGACTCCTCGATGAGACCATTAAGACTTCGGAGCCAGTGGTGACCCGGCCGGGCGCCACTGCACAGCCCCTCACTGGCGCCCTGGGCGGAGGTCCCTCTGCGGTCCGCCTTCCTGCGCCGCTTCGCACTCTGCGCTTATCGCCTTTTTTTCCCCTTTCCCTCCCAACTCCCCTACTCCCACCCCAGGCCACTTCCCTAGCCTAGGATCTAAGAGCTAGAGATGTTTTCAAGCGGGTAACTTTGAAGTCCACACCCGCGCCTGGGGAGCTTTGGAGGGGAGCAGGGCACACTGGGACTAGGCGGTGGTAGCTCCAAGCTCTGGGGCAGACTCGGCTCTCTCCATTGCACCGGCTCAGAATCCCGGCAGGGAGCGCCCCCCGCCCCCCGCCCGCATCCCTCTCTCCTCCCTGCAGAACCCTGGAGGGGAGCGGACGGATGGTCTCCACAGGATCCCCCAGGTTCGCGAGCGCCCTCGCCCGGTCCCGTCCTGCCAGGCTCTCGAGTTCCTATCTTCATGAATTTTCCTGGTGCACCTTTCGCGTGCGTTATTATCCATCTCTGCATAGAACTCATTGTATTTATTTTGGCACATTGACTGGGAACAGCCCACAGTCTCTGAAGCTTATGTCTTTCCCAAAATACTGAGCAAAATCAATGAGGAAGTTAAATCATTCTATTCATTTTCAAAAACTGTACGCCAACTTAAAATGTTGGTGTAACCAAGATGAAGATTTGTTAAGTCCTCTCTTTTTTTTATCCGCTGGCATATGTAAGCATGCGTTTCCTCTGTTTTGATTTCTAAGGGCATTCCATTGGTGTTTATGACGATTTCCATTTTGTCTAGGATGAAGACATTGGCAGCCAAATCCTCCTGAAAAATTAGTGATAGCAGTAATAGCTAGTGCTACTCTGAGGCTATTTGTTACTGTTATTACTACTAACAATAGCACTAGCAGGTTCTATTAATATTTACTAAGGCTCTATGGCATGCCAGACACTGTTCTTCATGTGTTCATCCTCCTACTAACTCTTCAAAATAGATATAATTGTCTTCACTTTAGAAATAAAACACTGATGCTTGTGACCCTTCATGAGCAAATCTTGAGTGCATCTAGGGCCTGGTGAGGAATAATCACTGAATGGCTGGCTGGCCCTCCTGCAGCTATTTCCTTTCCTGCAAAATGAGAATTTTTTGACTGATGGATGTTTTCTAAGCTTTTGCTTGGTTGTAAGAATTCTTCTGCTAGAAGCTGTGGGTTTACAGAGGTAAAAAAGATATTGTCTCTTCTGCCAAGTAGCCGGGGGTCCAAGGTAAAAGACATAAGGGCACACATAGAGTGGGATGTGGCTTATTTATTTATGTTAGGAGGAGATGCTAAAAGGGAAATCATGGCAGGTATGTGTGTGACCTTCCTCCACCTCCCACAAAACACTGTCCTCCACTCTGTCCTCACCTTCCTTCTCTGTTCTTCCCCTTGTCCTTAACCATTTCCCTTCTGCATCTCCTTTTTTTTTTCTCCTTCTGCACTAAAATGGTGCTTTTAAAACTGTGGGTTATAAGACATTAGTAGGTCATAAAATCAATCCAGGGGATCTGGACCAGTATTTTAAAAAATGAAATAATAGAATCAAACTATTAAAAGGCATCACTCATACTCAGGATAATATTGTTGTGTAAAACTCGTTGTATATGTATGTTTGCATGTGTGTGGCAAACGCAAGAAGACAATGATTGCTTTCTTGGGAGGAGCAGGGAGTAGGGCTAGCTATGAACACCACCTGGACATTTCTTCTCTGTCACAGCTACAGCGTTTCAGGGCTGGAAAGGTAACCTGGAGATCACAGACCCCCAGGGCCCAGATGGAGGCCCTGGGGCAGCAGGAGTTGGAGATGGGGAGGCCGTGCCAGAGACAGGCACCTGCCACCAAGGCTGAGGAGGAAGAGTCACCTGGCACCCTGAGGTCAGGGGCAGAGGGACCGTCCTCCCACCCCACAGCGGCCCCAGTCCTTCCCTTTCTCTCCCCAAGGATGCTCCAGCAGGGAGTTTATCTCCACGGAAGCCTTTGAAGAGTGTGAAGGTGCAGAAGACACGGAAAAGGAGAACAGCGCTCTCAGCGTAACTTGTTTCCTTCTTGCTGCTTTCATGCTCTCCCGCATTCCTGTTCACCCGCTCCTCCCGCCTCCCCTCCTCTCCTCGTTCCCTCTCTCCCTCCTTCTCATGATTCTTCCCATAGGGACCTGCCCTAAGCCAGCAAGCTGAGATCCCTGGACCCTGGAAGAGGCTCTAGAGCCTCCCCGCCAGCGCGCCCCCACACCACTGTCTGGTCCCAACCCGGCTCCCGCAGGGAACCTGAGTGGCGGGGGGTGGGGTGGGGGGCGGGAGAGCTGGGGAGCCCCCACCTGGCAGCGGGACCGCCTCGCGCGGCCCGGGCACTGCCCCCACTGCTGACTCCGAGTGTGCACCCTGTCCCCTCCCTTCCAGCTCGCCGGGCTCTTCCAGTCGGACGACAGCTCTGAATCCCGTCTCTCCAAATCGGTTTTCCTGGAGACGGGAGAAAGCACCCAGGGAGGAGACGCACGCGATGCGGAGGAAACGTGAGTGTACAGGGGACAGAAAAGCCCGCGAGTCTGCAGCCGTTGCTCCTCTGACTGTCTTCTTGGAATTTCAGGGCCAGCGCCGAGGAGCGCGTCGGGGTGCGCACTGGCGAGCTCGCTCCCGCGGGGGAGACGACCCGACCCGGCGCAGAGACGGCGCAGGCGCGGGCGGGAGGCCCGAGGACGCCCTCCCCGCAGAACTGAGCCTCCCGCGGGCAGCCGTCGCTCCTGCGCTCGGCCCGGCGCCCGCGCCGTCTGCGTTGCAGGGAGAAGCTGCAGAGGGGCCGAGGGCCCGGCCGCCTGAAGCAGAGGGCAGCCGAGGGGCCTCGGCGGCTACGCACATGCCGCCCTGGGAGGGGACGCCCACGGCCGCCTGCGGGGAGCCGGAGCAGAGCTCGGGGAGCCCGCTCCTCCCCGGCCGCCGCGGGAACCTCGGCGCTCCCTAACGCGCCTGCGCCAGACGCCCGCGGGGTCCAATCAATACCCGGCGCGCCTGGCTTTGGAGTTACTTAGTTTTAAAGTAGGTGTTGGAATTGTTTAGAGTGGTTTGATCTTAAGTTTTCACTCTACATGGGATCTGGCGGAGTCTTCAAGTCCCCTGATTTGTTTCTGGAATGGAGTGGGCCAACAAACACCTGAAAGGTACTCAAGAAAATCACTTTAGAATTCAAGAAAACAAAACATAATGTGTCTCGTTTTGTAAGGGCAAAGATGAAGGGACAGATCGCCAGGGAGGGGCTCTTCAGCACAATTGTCCAGCAGAGGGTTCCTCTCTGAAAAGTTTTAGAACTTTAAGCTATTTGTGGGGCCACCTTCTCCCACTCCCTTTTCTAACAACAAAGTATCTTTCCTGATAGATTCAGAGTGTATTTCAAAAATCCAGAAAGTTGCTGTTTTGGGGGGAGGGAATCAAGCATCCCCCACTCCTGCCAAATTTGTTCTGATTCTCAGACTGATGATGATGCCACACAAAGATCAAGAAGATATGAAAAGATTTATTACTCACAGAGTGAGGCTTTCTGGGGAGAGCAGGGGCAGGCACCCAAGCTGGTCAGAAATGGCTTGGAGAGGTGAGTGGCTTTTTTGGTATTTATTGTGGTCAGTGGTGGGGTTGGTTGGGGGTACATCCCAGTTCAAATCATGCAAATCCAGACTGGGATTTGCATGGTTTGAATATCTTTCTTGGTGCCATGGGTGGACTGTACACTCTTTCTTATCAGTTTGCCCAGATTTGGGGTAAAAGGAGAAGAGGGAGTTGGAGCTTGAAAGTTGTCAGCCATCAAACATCAAAATGGAGCCAGACTCTATTACAGTTAGTATACTGTAGGGTTACTCTCTCCATGCCCACACCTGATCTAAATGACTAAATATCTTTCCTGGTAGATAAAGGCTGTTTCTAATTTGTAGACTACAGTAGTTATTATTTGCATAAAAAAGTTGTCCCCAAATCTATAGGGAATGTTAGATATATATAGTTCTTCTACTTGCACTACTTTTTTTCTTCCTACATTATCTTTCAGCTCACGTTATTCCAACTTGACCATAAGAATGTTTATGTATGTATGTATTCACTCATTCAACACCTATTTCCTGAGCACTTCTCTGGGAAGTGAAGTGCTAAGGAAGATTCTGGCACCAGGCAAGACCAGGGAGGTATGGTGATGACTGAGAAACTCTTAGTTTAGTGGGGGAGACAGACATGAAAACATAATCACAGCACAATGTGACAAATATTCTGGAGGCACAGAGCACACTGTCAGTGACTCTTCATCAGGAAGGGGTGATGCCAGAGCTGGGTCTTAGGGAGCAAGTGTTTTCTCCTGGTGGTGGAGGAGGAGAAGGGCACCCTACTGGGTGAATAACATGTGCTCAGGAACAGGGGCAAGAGGGGGCCATGCATGGCAGGAGGATGAGTTGACAGGGGCTGCTGGGCCACCGGGTTCAGAACAGCACAAACCTTAAGGGCTGGCCCTGGCACTTGCCCAGATCCTGCCTCATTTGGTCCTTGAAGCAAGTCTGCAGAGAGTAGGAAGCAACCCCAGGAGCCCAAAGTTTCTCCTCGCCTTACTGTTCCAAACACAGTTTACAAGGCCCTCTGACTTGATACCATGTTTTCTCGAAAATAAGATAGGGTCTTATATTTATTTTTCCTCAAGAAGACACCCTAGGGCTTATTTGCAGGGGATGTGTTATTTTTTTTTTTTAAGTACAGTACAACAATCTACATTTATTCAAATATAGTTAAGTCGTCTTCTTCTGGAACATCATCATAACTCTCCAAACCCCAAATTCCATCCTGAATTTCTTGCAGCTCTATTTCCTTTAGAACCATTGGCCCCAATCTCTTATGTTGAGCAATAGAGCTCTCATGGGCAGATGAGAAGGGCTGCTCGTCTTCTTTACCGCTCCAGTAGGAAATGCATGGGTTGTGCAGATATGCTGCATAGCCACGCCCATTACTAAGTTTTATTTTCAGGGTAGGGCTTATATTGTACAAATGCTTAGAAATCCTGCTAGGGCTTATTTTATGGGTTGGTCTTATTTTCAGGGAAACGGTATTTCTACAATTCTTCAGCTCTTTCCTGGTTTTGCCCACCCCCATTTCGCTTGTCCATTGGAGGTGAGTCCCTCCTCCTTCACCTTTTGATTCCTTCTTCTTAACCATCTGCAGGGATGGAGGAGAGTGGAGACCAGCCAGCCGTGAAGTGCCAGTGACTTCAGCTGCAAAGCAGGCAGAGAAGAGCAGAGGAGCCTGGAGTAGGGATTGTTTGTGGAAATTTGCCAGATGAGGAAAGAATACAAGTTCCCCACCACTGGCTTTTAATGTTTTACAGAACTGATGCAGGTTTCTTTTGAATTTAGAGAAAATATAGATCAAAACAAAAAGCTGAAAGAAATAGGAACCACAAAGAGTATTCTTAAGTAGCTCCTTTTGCATAGATGGTCATGAGTCTTAAGACCAGTTTGAAATGTTTTAAGCTGTCTTAGTACCCTTTGGCTAAAAGTGCCCAACTAATGGGAAGTACTGTGCATGCTTAACCTGTGTTGTATATAAATATATAATGATGGACAGAGAGAGAGAGCTCTGTATCACTTGCCAGAAAGAAATTTAAGGCTCTACACACAGGCCATGCAGATCTTACTCTCCATAGAACTCCTGCCATCCCCCAGGAGTAAGTGCTTAGAGGATTTAACCTTGACTAGGAATGAGAGCCACGTGTAAGTAACCTCTAATAAACTCATCTAACTTGCCAAACTGGATTGGTATGAGTAGTTTCTTTGGTTTCTTGGCATCATCTCAGTTTGGAGGGCAGATTTTCTATACCATCCTGAGATTTTCCCAAATAGCAGAGCAGCACAGTGGGGAGTGGGCTCTGGTCATAACTAGTCATGACTTCCTCCAGCTGCATTCAGCAACTATTGAAAGGTAGTGGGGATGCCTTTCCCAAAGGTGTGTGTGTGGGGTACCTGTTTTAGATCGAACCCAGGCTTGTGAATGGACAGACTGGGATTTTTTGGTTTTGTTTTTTTGAGACAGAGTCTCACTCCGTTGCCCGAGCTATAGTGCCGTGGTATCAGCCTAGCTTACAGCAACCTCAAACTCTTGGGCTCAAGCGATCCTCCTGCCTCAGCCTCCCAAGTAGCTGGGACTACAGGCATGTGCCACCATGCCCGGCTAATTTTTTCTATATATTTTTAGTTGGCCAATTAATTTCTTTCTATTTTTAGTAGAGACAGGGTCTTGCTCTTGCTCAGGCTGGTTTTGAACTCCTGACCTTGAGTGATCCTCCTGCCTCAGCCTCCCAGAGAGCTAGGATTACAGGTGTGAGCCACTGCGCCCAGCCCAGACTGGGATTTTAAAAAGCAGATAGGGCCGTTTGCTGCATTAACAACAATGGGCATATTTACCAAGTCAAAAGACAATATAGTCCTACACAATCTATATGATGGTGTATAATCATACTTTTTATAATACACATACATTCAGTCTTGTGTGTGTGTGTGTGTGTGTGTGTGTGTGTGTGTGTACGCGCGTGTGTATGTATGTTAGTGTTCTTCGGTGAGCAGTTATATTCAAAACTACCTCCAAAGTCTGCAGAGGCTGAAGAAAGATGCTAACAAATCCAGTTTCTCAGAAAGAAACATTTAATAGGGACTTAGGAACAAAAGCCATGTCCTAGGTGGCCACACCAGTTGGATCTCAGTGCCATTACCTTTCAGACCCAAGGATTACATGCTTTAGGGAAGGAGTAGGATGATTAAAGTCAACCCCTCAGGGAAAGACAGGAATTGGCCTAAGGGCAGAATTTGCCTTAAAGGTTGTTTTGATCTAACAGAGCAGGATTTAGGTGACAGTAAAGTAGAAATCTTAGAACCTTTCCAGGAGCAGGGATTAATCAGAAGTCGACATGGCAGATTAGCATCCAAAGTAGAATTGCTCTGTCCTCCACAGTGATGAAATTACTCAACACACTGAATGCTTTAAAAAGTTTTCTCTCCTTTGGCTTCTGTTGTGATCTAAATGTTTGTGCCCCTCCGAAATTAATATGTTGAAATCCTAACTCCCAAGAAGATGGTGTTAGGAGGTGGGGCCTTTGGGAGGTCATGAGGGTAGAGCCTTCATGCATGGGATTATTGCCCTTAGAGGCCCAAGAGAGACACCCTTACCCCTTCCACTATGTGAGAAAACAGCAAAGCAGGCCCTCACCAGACACGGAATCTGCCAGTGTCTTGATCTTGGACTTCCCAGCTTCCCGAACTGTGGTTTATAAACTACCCAGTTTATGGTATTTTGTTATAGCAGCCTGAATGGACTAAGACAGCCTCTGTGATTATCCTATCAATCACAATATATTCATTTCTCTATGACAATATGTAAGAACTTCATATGGTTTCATGTCTTAGCTAAACAGAAGAGTCTTCTGGATTCTGACCACTTGTCTCAGGAAGTACATCACTTGGATCCTCTTAAACGTGTTTGGCCATTGAATAGCTAGCCATTCATTCCAGAAACATGGCCGAAACCATTCTCAATCCTTTTTGAACCTATAAAAATGCCCATATTTGATGGTGCTTGGCAGAGTGAAAATTGCCCAAACCTCCCAAGCCTCACAGGAGAAACCTGTCTGCAAATGTCATGTCACAGGTAGGCAATCAGAGGATCCATTTGAATGCCAATCATTGCTGGATGTTACTGAGGTGCTGCCCCCAGGTGCTCTGGGACACATCTACTCTGCCCTTCCACTGTAGCCCAATGGACATTATGTCCTTTTCTTCAGGCCCTTGGCCACAGTAGCCACTCTGGAATGAATTGTTGCTGCACTACATTCCTAAAGCCCTTTAAAAGTAAGAATAAATAAAGGTTAACTTTTTTGTGGGTAAAACTTTTATCATCTTTCCATTTGTTTAGATGAGAAAGAATATGGAGCAATGAAATGAAAATCTTCTTGAACTTTTGGAAGAATTGTTCATGGCCTCTATGGTTTTCTAAGATTGTCTATTGTCCCCTAGAGGGACTCAGATAACATGCTTTGGCTGAAGTGGTTGGGCTAAAGGCAGCCCTGAGTCTGTACAATTTGGTGGTGTTCTGAATGCAAACTAAACACTAGCCATGCATTATACAATATTTAGAGGAAATAGAAATCACCCAGATCAGCATTTCCAGGGTGTTTTTCAGAACCAGCAAGAGAATACAAGAGATCAGCAATTTTTCTCCCTCAAGTCTTTCTAGAGGAGAAAAAAAAAATAATTCAGGCTCAGAGAAATCTAATAGGAAGGAAATCTGCACAGTCTTCTTAACCCCATCATTTCTCAAACTCTTTGACTGCAGAACTCTTTTCTTTGTGGAATGCCAAATGCCATGTGTATTAATTAGTAAGGTGTCATAACAAAGAGACCTGACCATATAATGACTTAAGCAATAGGCATATTTCTATCTCATGTGACAGTCCAGGGCAGGTAGGAAGACCGATCTCTCCATAGTTATTTAGGATTCCCAGTCTTCTTCCATCTGGGCTTCCCATCAGACCCTAGAACGTTGTCATAATCTGTATGGTCAAAACTAGGTCACAGACACACATGTTTGTCTTCCTAGGCAGGGAAAAGAGATATAAGAATCACATGCGCAATATTTTCAAGTTCAACCTGGAAGTGGCACATGCGGGGAAGAGTATTTGAGGCAGGCCCCGAGGAGATTATCTACTTCTCCCCACGGAGCCAAGTCCCTAAGATAGGGGTCGCCATAGAGGATAAGGAAATTGATAGGCAACAGAGAGAAATAAAAGAATACACAGAGACTAAGGTATAGTTTATAGTTTTTATATATATATATAAAGATCAGATATAACACAGCAGGGAGTACCTAGGAGACTGGTGCATCTCCATAAACACCAGCAATGTGGTTAGATTCATACAGGTTTTTATAATCACAAACATCAATTACCAATTGTCAGGGTAACATATTTGCATACCAGGGAATGCAGTTGCTAGGGGATACAGGTAGTGGGTTAGGGTCAAAAGTCCTCTCAAGGGGCTTCTAATCTATTTAGGTGAACAAACAGGTACAAAGTCTTTCAGGGACTAACTTCTAAGTTTTAAGAGGTAGTTGTCAATTAATAGAGGTAAAACAAAAGAGGTATAGTGACTCAATATTTCTTTGATTAGTTATGGTGGACTTAAAGGTAGACAGACAGGAGAGAGCAGGAAGCCCATCTCTAATAAACCGGTTGTTTATAACCACCAGGACGCTTCTCTGGGCAAACTGCACTCATTGTCTCCGGCTCCCATCCTGTGGGCCATATTTGCCTTGTCTTGTCTTTCAAGACACAGGGAAGCTCACAGATTTTGAGATGCCAGGAAGCCTTCCTGGAAAACATCCCTACCAGAGATTTGAGAGCTCTCCCATGATAGCAGCCTCTAATTAGTGAACCATTGAGTCACACATTCCTTCAGGGCAAAACCCTGCAAACTCCTGTTTCTGTCTTTAATATAGTAATATTGGGTTATACAATAAAATAATGATCTTATGAACCACATTTCATTAGTTCCTCAATCATATTTTCCCAACAGGCACACATCTCCTTTCTCACATTCCACTGGTGAAAACTTAGACACATGGTCACTCCTAGTTTCAAGGATGAGAAGGAATCATGGTCCTTAATAAGTCCATTTCTATCTTATTTCTTATAGCTATCAGTCTATTAAAGTGTATTGTGGTGGCCCTTCAGACTGCAACAGAGCAGGGGCTAGTAGCCAGGACCTCCAGCTCCTAGTTCAGAGTTCTTATTACCACACTAGCATTTCTGTACAGTAAGTCCTCACTTAAAATTGTGGATAGGTTCTTAGAAACTGCAACTTCAAGCAAAATGATGTGGAACAGAACCAATTTTTAAATTTCTCATCAGTGTTATAATGAAACGACTTTGAATGAAATGACATTATTCGAGGACTTGTTGTACATTGTTTTGCTTAAAGTCGCAGTTTCCAAGAACCTATCGACAATGTTAAATGATGACTTACTGTACTCAGCCAGCATATGTGGAGTAATATTGGGTTATACAATAAAATAATGATCCTATGAACCATATTTCATTAGTTCCTCAATCATATTTTCCTCCTGTGTCAGTATGAGGATGGAAAGTTTTCTAAAACAGAATCTCCTAATTACATATTAACTCTATATCAAGCTCTATTAATAGATCAACTTTCAGATGTGACTTTAATAGTCATATCTTATAGCTTTGCATTATGTCACTTTCATTTGCCTAGAGGTAGAGGATACATACTCTTGGTGAGGAATAAACACATACAATGAACAGAGCAGAGAATCCTGGAATAGATCCCAATGCATTTAAAAAGCGAGTATATGAAAGACATTTAGAATTAGAATTGAAAAGAAAAATATACATTAAAATGATGAGTATTGTGTCCACTAAGAATATGAAAAAAGTAAAGCTAGATTTCCCCTCAATTTTTAGAACATGAGGAATTGCTTATGCAAGACCCCAGAGAGAACCAGATTTTCTTTCAGTTGAAACAGGAAAACCATATGACCCTAGACAGCCTGGAAAGCCCCCAGTCATATTCCATTCTATTGGCAGTCTTAACTTCACTGAGACTGCCAAATATACTTAAAAACCAATCAGAAAGACTTCCTTACTTCCAAAAATCTTGCACTATTAGAATTAGAAAATTCCAACTTAAGAGAACACTCATCAAAGACTGTCTTAAGTCTTTCTCCTTTTAGTCTATAAAACTCACCCTTCTTTTAATCCCTTACAGTTTCTACTGTAATGAAAATGATGGCAGCTGACTCCTTTATAATAGTAAATTTTGAATAAACAGCCTTTAACT